CTTTTTCCTTCTCCTCCCCCTGTCGCTCCCCACCCCGTTTCGAGAGGGCCCCCCCACCCACCGCAGCGGCTAGGGCCCAATCACGCACGCCTCACCTCCTCCCCCCTCCTCCCCTCCATCGTACCCCGCGCTGCTGTCGTCGGCCGCGTCGCCTGCGCCTTCGGTGTCTTATTCGTTCTCCTCTGAGGTCTGCCGCTGAGCCCTGGCGGCGGAGGAGGAGGAGGAGGAGGAGGAGGAGGAGGAAGAGGAATCCTCGATCCTCGATGCTCGCCCTCCCCTCCGACGAGCCCGCAGAGGGCCGACGCCCGCGCGCGGCGCCCCCCCTCCCCTCCTCCTGGGCCGGCGCGCCATCGAAGATGGCGGATCCGATGGCCGCAGGCGGCCCCGTCCTTGCGCTCATCTTTGAAGTCCGCGGGCGCGAAGTGGTCAAGGACGGTCAGGCGCCGGAAGCGAATTTGGGCATAGAGGTGAAAAGGAAAAAGAGGAGGAAGGACGGAGGGTGGTGCCCGCTTAGACCATGAAGGCGGGCGCGAGTGTGCCGAAGAAGAACATGCATTTGCGGGACAGCGAAGGCCGATTTGAGCCCTTGCGCCCATCCGAATCGCGACAGCCAGTTTTCTGACGCTCTCAGACTCTGGAGGGCATCTCCCAGCCCCAGGGCCGTCAAGAACCAGCTCGGGGTGAAGAGCCAGCCCTAGGGATGGGTCGAGGTCCCCGGGGACCGACGCCACAAACAGGTTGCGGCGTCGGTAGAGACGGGCGGTCTGGGCGGAGGTGGGAGGAGCAGAAGGGGGGGGCTTCATAATGATTAGGAGGAGGAGGAGGAGGAGGAGGAGGAGGAGGAGGAGAAGGATGAAGAGAAGGAGGAGGGGGAGGGGGAGGAGGGGGAGTTTTTCTGTTTGCCGATCTGCCTTGAACAGTTGAGGCTGACGACTCAGCGCAGCAACCCCCCTGCACACACGTTCGGTGGGAAGACGAGCAGCTCTCGATTGGCTCCACCCGTATCACTTTGCTCCCTGCCACGATGGACACCTTTGCCGCTCTTTTCCAGCACCTCCGCCCTAGATCAGACACCATCCGCGGCGGCGACGTCGCCACACCACGAGAATGCTTGGCCAGCCCCCTGGCTGGGACCAGGATTGCTGCCAACGAGCCGAGTGCCGCTCCCCCTGCTGCGCCCCTCACACGGCTAGAGACTTTTGCGTCGGCGGCTGGGCAGAGTGACTGCGCTGGCGTTGAACACGGCTAGAGACAGCCACGCCTTCGTAGGGAGCGGTGGCGACCAGCCTGGGGAACCGCACCGGCCCCAGCGCCGCTAGGGCTGGCCACGATCGACCCGCGGGCCGCTCCCCCAGCCACGGTCGCTGCGCCCAGCCGGGCCCCCCTGGATCCGCCGAGTCCACCAGACCTGCCTGTCAGGAGACCGGTGCTCCCTGAGTATCCGCCTCGCGTTCTCGGGCGGGGATTGCTCGAACCAAGCCTTCAAGGTAGAGCGGTTCTTGAGCAACATTCGTTGGCCCATTCGGAATCAGAGACGTGATCCCACGTCGTCGCAGCAGGAGCCAGCAGCGTCGTGTGTTTCTTGTGCCTCGACCTCCGAAGGCCCTGGCACCCTCGGCGGCATTTTGTCCGCCGCCCGTCTGATGACGGCCGAGCCTCTCCGAAGGCCCCCGGCGCTGCCCCCCCTTCGGCGGCATGCGCTGCCCCGCACAAGCTGTGAGTACACCGGCTCCTGGTGCCTGAGGTTGTCTGCGCGCTTCTCGAGGGCGTAGGCTCTCTGCATCTGTGGCCTCCGCCCGTTCTCCTCCTCTGCGGCCGCCCTCTTCTTTTCCAGCTGTTTCACTTTGATCATAGCCCCGCGCGACCCGTCGGCTATGGAGCGCGTCAGCTTCCGCTTTCGCTGCTGACAAAAAATTCTCTTGTGCCTTGGCGGCTTCTGGTGTCGGCATGTCTGTTTCGTCATCTCCAATCCTTGGTGATGGGGGGCTCCCCTCGCCAAGTGTTCTGAGCCGCCAATTACAACAGCTTAGTGCTGTATGTAGTGAATTCAACGCGCGGGAAGTGTGCTCAATAACACCGTGCATACATGGTGGCTTGCCTTGGGGCTTATGAGGAGGGGGCTGTCCCCCTTTTTGGAGACGCTGTTTTCCCGACCCGCCCGTCCTCCAGGGGAGGCCCCGCCCCGCCCACAAGCCATGATTCTTTCCCTGAAGGGGCTGCGCCCCCCCAGAGACGTCAGTCACACTGGGGCCATCTGGAGGGAAGACTTGGGACCGAGGGACGGATCGCCTTCTGGGAGGGGAGGGGAATCCCACGGGCGGTGCCAAACCAGGAGGAGGAGATACTTTACTACCACGTCGTGTTCCATTCAGGGAGACAGCGCTGAAATGCCCACGGCGCGGCGCATGACATCATCTGCATGTTACTTTGTCGTGCGAACGGTGGGGTAGCGCATTAATTGCCAATTGGTTCAAGCAGGCCTTCGCTGTCTGGAACAAGCAGCCTCGGCACGGTACATTTGTTTGGACTCGTTTGGATTTCGCCCAATATGGGCAGGCCGATGGCCGCAGCGGCTGTCGCACCCCAATGGGCGCAGTGGTAGTACGAGGTCGGCAACGTCTGACAGCCATTTACGTTGGCTGGCTCCGACGCGGCCGAAAGGGAGTACGAAGCGTAGCGATCAGGAGGTTTGGTCACTGCGAGCTTGATGTCCGGCATGTGCGAGTACATTCTGGACTTCGAAACCTGGCGGAGCGCGTTCCACTACTCGAAAAGTGCTTGCTCGCAAACGTCCGAAACACTCACGCTTGCCTCGATATCACGTATCGCAGATCCCCCGCGGTGCAAGGGCGGCCTAACCGACCCCTAGCAAACCATCCCCTTCCATGATGTCCCCTTCGCTTCGCCCCAAGATGTATGTATGTGGCCAGAGGAGAGCTCGAAAGGCGAAGATGACATCAAGGGGGTGATGGTTTGCTAGGGATCGGTTAGGCCGCGCCCGAACATCATGGACTTCGAAGCCGTGGAGCAGCGCAACGGCCGCAGCGGCAAGTCTCGGGCGCTGTGCCGGCAGGAGCTCGCGGCGCTGCTTCAGGGCGAGCTCGAGCGCCTGCGTGCCGAGCGCGACGCCCTGGCTGCCGAGCGCCAGGCTCTGGTGGTCGCCATGGGAGAAGCGGGTCCTGTGGTCAACGGGTTCTGAGGTGTGTCGCCGTGTTTGGCTTCTCGGGGCCCTCCACGGGTCCCAGGACGGTCAGAAAACGACCCAGGATGAAGAACTCATCCTGGGAGAAGGCCCCAGGGTCCAGGGCCCCTTTCCCTCAGGACCCGGTTCCCCATCCTCAGGTGGTGCAGCACATGGTGCCGCGTCGCGCGGCGTGCCGTTCGCTGGAGGCTCTCGCGGACCGGCTCTTCGCATTGCCATCGCATGAGTTGGCGGATCATGAAGGCTGTTTGTCGACGCTGCTATTGCCCTCAGACCGGCGGGAGCAGTGGCTGCGGAACAATTTCCTGACGGCGTGGGAGCCGCATCGGCGGGCCTGCGATGCGGCCGAGACGTACACAGCGGCAAAGGTAAAGGTGCTTGGAATCTGGGGGTTATACAACCCGCAGTTGGCCAAGGACTGCAGGCCAGAAGCCGCCCACGCTGGCGACTGTGCTCCGGTGCCCGAGCTCGAGGCCGCCATCTGGGGGCGCGCCGACCTCGAGGGCCCCGGCTCAACGAGGCACTGCTCTTCCACGGTTGCAGCTCGCAGGTTGAAGCTCAATCGTGATGGAAGATTTCGACCCTCGGCTCGGAGGCATGAGCGCGGGCGGCGCGTTCGGTCGCGACGCTTACTTGACCACGCGAGCGTCGAATGAAGACTATTGCACGTAAACGTGGAGACAATGTGAGGGAGACCCAACAATATAGGGCGATGGTCACCGACTCTTCTTCGTGGCGCGCGTCGCACTGGGCGAAGTCAGCGAAGCACAGGCCTACGAAAGCTCGCTCCGCCGACCACCTGTATGGCCCAATGGAAAGCGCTGAGACTCCGTGCTCGGGGTCCCACGCAGCTGCGGTGGCTGCGTGGACAAAGACGAGGTTATCATCTTCAAGCTGAAGCAGGCGGTTCCTCAGAATTTTGCTGTCTACGAGCACGAGTCGGGATACCGCTGCTGGACATGCGTGAACCCCCAGACTTAATATTCAACTTGAGAGCAGCAGCGTGCTCGCGTGGACACAAGAATGGCTAAATAGCTTGCCGCGCCCCCGCTTCAGCCCTGCTGCTAAATTTTAGAAGGAGGGGTGAAGAGGAGAAGGAGGAGGAGGATGAGGAGGAGGGTGCTGAGCAGGTGGAATAGGAGGAGGCTCAGGCAGAGGATGTAGGGAGGGTGAAGGAGGGGGAGGAGGACCACAACGACGAGGAGGAGGAGGACGGCGACGCGGAGGAGGATGGGGAGGAGTAGGAGGGGATGGAGGCGGGGGTGAGGAGGAGAAAGAGGTGGAAGGAGGAGGAAGAGGAGGAGGAGGAGGAGGAGAAGGGATGAGAAGGAAGAGGAGGAGGATGATCATGAGGAGGAGGAGAAGGAGGAGGAGGAGGAGGGGTGAGGATCATGAGGTTGGAATTGAGGAGGAGGAGGACGACGACGACGGAGAAAGAGGAGTAGGAGAAGGAGAAGAAGAAGGAGGAGGGACCCCCAAGATCCTGGGTAATCTTCAAAAATTCGCCAGAACAGGGGTACGAAGTCATCAAACCTAGCTGACGCTCCTTTCGCTTCATCATCCCCCATTCCTCTTCACCTCCCTCTGGAGCTGGGGATGGGGGGCAGAAACAAGGGGTCCAATAGTGTTTTGAACGCGTGGCTGCGGAGTGAAGCCCCGTAGCGAGTGGATTGGGTACTGGGGGAAGTTCTCTCCTCCTTGCTAGCCAGCCGTCATTGGCAACCGTATGATCGACGTCGTGGGCGATGCAGGTGCGGCGGCGACGACGACAGCAAGACCAACGACGACTGGCCTCGCCGTCGTAAACCTGAGCACGTGGTTACCATCATCCCCCCATCATCGCCAGCGTCACCGTCGGGTGTCATTTAGTCATCGTCATTGTTCTCTCTTCCCATGGCTCCTCCACCGCCTCGTCATCTCAATTATTCCTCGCAGCTATGCCGCCCCCTCCCTCGTCCTTCTACTCCTCCCTCCTCCCAGGCTCTTCTTTTTTCATCCAGTTCCTGATCGTCCCTCCTCGCCCTCCTCGCCAGTATCCCCCTTCTCCCAGTTTCAGCTGAGGACGTGGACAAGAGGGAAGAGTTGGGAGGAGTTGGGACTGGGGAGATACGAGGAGGACAGGGGGACACGAGGAGACGGTGGTTGCGACATAATTGTTTCGACCAACTCCCTTCCGACCCAACGTTTTCTGAGTACAGATCCCCTTCGTATATCAGGTGCCATTGTGCTTCTCATGTTATGTACCCTCCTGCTCCCCCTCGTGAGCGACCCCGCTGTGCCCCCCATCGCACGCTTGCGCTGCATTCAAAGAACACTACACGCCTCCTTGTTGCGTTATTCGTATTTTGCTCCTCTCTGATGATCAGGCTTCTTGGTAGCATTATCTTACTCATCCTTTCTCCTCGTCTTCCATCTCCTGCGTCATGATCCTTCTCTTCTTCATCCTCTCCGTCCTCCGTCTCCTTCTCCTCGTTTTACCTCTTCTCCTCATTGTCCTTCACCCTTTCCTCCCAGACAGACTCTGTCCGCACAAGCGCCATCTTCCTCTCCCCCGCCCAGACAGGACTCTGTCCGCACCAGTGCCATCACTCTCTCTCTCTCTCTGTCTCCGTTCTCTCTCTCCCTCTCTCTATTCCTCTCTCTCTTTCTCTCTCTGTTTCTCGCTCTCTCCCTGTTCCTCTCCCCCTCCCTGCCGACCACTTCTCTCCCAGGCGGGCTCCCCGCGGCGCCCGCGGCGGGCGCCGGCGCAGCAGGGGCACCGCCCCACGCCCCCCGCCCCCAGCGCGCGGAGCGAGGGCCTGCGAGCGGCGCCGCGCTTCACCAGCGGCTGGCGGCGCGCACGGTGGTCGGGGAAGCGTCGGGCTCGAGCTTGCAGGAATGGGCTCTGGTGTGGGCTCACAGCGAGGACGAGGACGAGGACGAGGACGACGAGAATGCTGGAGCGAAGGCAAAAACAGAGGCGTGAACGAAGGCGAGAACAAAGGCGAGAACGAAGGAGGGAACGAAGACGAGAACGAAGGCGAGAACAAACGCGAGAACGAAAGCAGGAACGTGGGCGGGAACGAGGGCGGATGCGAGAACGAAGGCGAGAACGAAGGCGAGAACGAAGGCGAGAACGAAGGCGAGAACGAACGCGACAACGAAGGCGAGAACGAAGGCGAGAACGAAGGCGAGAACGAAGGCGACAACGAAGGCGAGAACGAGGTCGAGAACGAAGGCGCAAACGAAGACGAGAACGAAGGCGAGAACGAATCGAAGGCGAAAACGAGAACGGTATCGAAGGCGAGAACGAAGGCGAGAACGAGATCGAGAAAGAAGGCGAGAACGAAGGCGAGAGCGAAGGCGGGAACGAAGGCGGGAACGAAGGCGATCACGAAGGCGGAAAAGAGGGCGAGACGAAGACCCGGTTGGTTCGGGAAGACCCGGGGACTGGTTGGGGAAGTCCGGGGAGAGTGGTTTGGGAAGACCTGATTCGTTTGAGAAGACCGGTGAGGTTAGTTCGGGAAGACCCGGTTGGTTTGGGAAGACCCGGGCGGTTGGTTTGGGAAGACCCGGTTGATTTGGGAAGACTCGGGCGGTCGGGTTGGAAAGACCCGGTTGATTTGGGAACACCCGGGCGGTTGGTTTGGGAAGACCCGGTTGGTTTGGGAAGACACGGGTGTTGGTTTGGGAATGCTGGGTCGTTTTGTCCCGCAACATTTGGTTTGGGAAGACCCGTTTGGTTTGGGAAAACCTTGCTTCGGGAGTGCGAGGACTAAGGCGGGTTGGCATCCTGCATGTGGTTGTGTCTGTGCGTGGCCGAAGCGCACCACCAGGCTCGCCTGAACCTTGACTCAAGGCTCTTTAAGGACCGGATTGTCAGCTGGTCAAGTTCGACTTGGACACATCCCAACGTGTTCTTGAGAATCACGGGACCCTGGGACATACACGAATGATCAAGCTCCGCACCCAAAGAAGGGGAAGCTGGATCAACCTCAGCTCCGCCACTTTTCGCAGGCACTTTACCATCCTGCAGTGATTTCGCAACCCCAGAACGTATGACTGTAACATGCCCGTGCGTGATCCCGTCTTCAAGAAGCGAATCAGACTCGTCCACTTGCGAAGCCGTCTCCTCAACCGAGGTCTGGTCGAAATCCCTTGCGGCTATGTCGTAGCCCTTCACGTATCGGTCAGTCACGTGGCCTTAGTCGGAGAGGACTAGCATTTCAACTGTTGCGAGCCACCCACTGTGAGTTCCTGAACCTGCGCTGAGGTGTGGTCGAGCGCTTTGGAGCGGTAGGAGGCGGTGGCGCGGCATGCTGTGACACCCACTTTCTTGGTATCTATATTTTCCTCGAGCTTGTTCTCAATGACGCTCATTGTCAACGGCGGTACATGTAGCACTTGCCTGGGCCGCGGCGGGGGCGGCGACTGGCGCCGTAGCCTTGGTGCCCAGCACGGAGTCCACGCGCATGCCTACCAAGATTCCTCTCGCTTCGCGGAGTGCACGTCCGGAGCACGTACAGTCCAGTCGTTGCGGGGCCTCGTGGGAGCTTCTTTGTGGCCTCTTGGAGGTGTCTTGGGGGCTTCTTGGGGCCTCTTCTGCACTGGGCTTCTTTGGGGCCTCTTGGGGCCTCTTGGGGGCGTCTTGGGCCGTCTTGGGGCGCTCTTGCGGCGTGTGGCCCAATCGGAGGCCGGTCTGGGGGCCTCTCGCGGCTGTTTTAGGGCCCGCTTGGGCCGTCATAGATGCCTTTTGAATGCTTCTTGGGCCGTCTTGGGGTCATTTTGGAGGCTGCTTGGGCTGTCATGGGCCTCTGTGCCAGGGTTTAAAAAGCACGCGGTGCTCGGCAGTGTTTATGCGAGAAGCGGCGCACAGCTCCCAGCGTGACAAAGCAGACTTGCTCTGCCCCGCTTGCTGGCGGGCAGATTTGGCGCCGCGCAGCCGATCCAGACTGGTAATCGCCGCTATGGAAAAGTGCTCAAATGTGGAAGGTGTGGGCGTTGGTTGGCGTGACCTGCTCGGCTGCCGCGCGTGCGCACCGCTCCCCACTGCAATCCCCAGGGTTTTTGGGCGGCCTCATGGGGGGCTGTTGGGAGCCTCTTGAAAGCCTTGTGGGGGTTTCTTGGAGCGTCATTGGGGCCGCTTTGGGGCCTCTTGGGGCTTTTTGTTGACGTTTTGCGCCGGCTTGGGGAGCTCTTGCGCCGTCTGGCCCCTTCGGAGGCCATCTTGGAGGCCTCTCGCGGCCACCTGAGGGCTCTCTTGGAGTCCTCTTGGGCCGTCTTGGGGGCCCCTTGGACCGTCTTGGGGGCCTCTTTTGGCCGTCTCGGGGGGATCTTGAGCAATCCTGGGGCCCCTTTGGGGGCTTCTTTGGCCGTCTTGGGGTCTTCCTGGAGGCTGCTTGGGCCGTCATGGTCCTCTGGGCCGGAAAAAATGTGAGATCGCGACAACCTTTCAAAAACCAACGGGAGATCAATGATTTTGGCTCATGGAGGCGCTCTTTCGAGTCCTCTTGGGGCCCCCTTGAGCAGTCTTGGGGGCCTCGCGGGCCTTCTTGGGCCCATCCAGGGCCGTCGTGGGCCATCTTGGGGCCATCTTGAGGCCCTCTTGGAGTCCCAAGAGGCCCAAGAGTTCGAATTTGTTGATTTGTTCACTGGTTTTTGTAGGCGTCGAGCCCCAGAAGGACGACCGCCACCTTTGGTACGGCGTTGTGGCGCGACTCCAGAGGGGGGGTTCGGGGGGAGACATAATAAGGTAAAACAATACAAGATGTGGCAATTATACAACGATTGGGTACATTGGATACGTCGCTTCATAGCCTCCGCAGACAACGCTGCCGCTCAGCACGTCACTTCCGGACGTGGATTCCTTTCGGTTCGCGGGGTGTGCGTCCGGATCACGTACAGTCACGTCGTCGCGGGGCCTCTTCGGAACCTCTTGGGGGCCTCCTGGAGGCCTCATGGGAGTTTCTTTTGGCCTCTTGGGGACTTCTTTGGGGCCTTTCCCCCCTCCCTCCTTTTCATACACCCTCCCCATATTCCCTTCCAGCGCCGGCTCTAATGATGGGCGCCGCAGTGACCAACTTCGACCTGGCTGGCGCTGCGCCGCAGTTCGCCCAGAGGGGGGAAAATAACATTACACTCCAGTCGTTGTGTGGCCTTTGGGGGGCTTTTTGGGGTCCTTTTGGAGGCTTCTGGGGGACTTTTTGCAGGTTTCTTGGGGGCCTCTTGGGGCCCCTCGGGGGCGTCTTGGGCCGTCTTGAGGCGCTTTTGCGCCATTTCGCTCCTTCGGAGGCCGTCTTGGGGGGTTCTCGCGGACGCCTTGGGGCAATGATATAGTTTTCTTGAGCTGTCAAGGGGCCTCTTCGACCGTCTTGGGGGCCTCTTTGGGCAGTCGTGGAGTCCTCTCGGGCTGTACTGGGGCCTCTTGGGGACTTTTTGGGCAGTTCTGGAACGATTTGGGAGGCTGCTTGGGTCGCCCTGGGCTTGTGAGAATCTCAATAAGCGAGAGCACCAAAATCTTCAAAACCCTATGGGGAAATCGATGATTTTGGCCGCTGGCGGCACTCCTGGGGGTCCTCTTGGGGCCCTCCTGGGGCGCCTTGGGAATGTTTTCTGGCCCTCTTGGAGCCATCTTGGGCCGTCCTGGGGCCGTATTGGGCCGCCTTGGGTCCACATTGGGCCATCTGGAGGCCCTCTTGGAGTCCCAAAAGGCCCAAGAGTTCGAATTTGTTGATTTTTACCTAACAGCGAAGACTGATAGGTTTCTAGTGGGATCAAAAGAGAGCAGCAGATCACTCCACAGGGGGGTCCGGGCAGGTGTTGGGAGTTGCCGGGCGGCAGGTGCCGGGCTCGTTTTTCACCAACAGTCATACACTTCGTGCTCTTCGACTTCCCAGAACTCCATTCCCAGGCCACATTCTCAATACCCGGATGCAACAGTCACACACTTCGTGCTCTTCGAGATCCCAGAACGCCATTCCCGGGCCACATTTAGAATAACCGGATGCAACAGTCACACACTTCGTGCTCTTCGAGTTCCCAGAACTCCATTCCCGGGCCACATTCTGGAGGGCCGGATGCAACAGTCACACACTTCGTGCTCTTCGAGTTCCCAGAACTCCATTCCCGGGCCACATTTTGGATGCCCGGAGCCAACTGTAGGCCACTTCGTGCTCTTCGAGTTCCCAGAACTCCATTCCCGGGCCACATTTTGAATGCCCGGAGCCAACTGTAGGCCACTTCGTGCTCTTCGAGTTCCCAGAACTCCATTCCCGGGCCACATTTTGAATGCCCGTAGCCAACTGTAGGCAACTTCGTGCTCTTCGACTTCCCAGAACTCCCATTCCTGGGCCACATTTTCAGCAGGGGCAAGAGCACGACGAGGAGGAGGACGAGCAAGACCAGGAGGACGAGGACGAGCAGGAGCAGGACGAGGAGCAGGAGGAGCAGGAGAAGAAGGACGAGCAGGAGGAGGAGGAGGACGAGCAGGAGGAGGAGGACGACCAGGAGGAGGAGGACGACCAGGAAGAGGAGGAGGAGGAGGAGGAGGGGAGGGGGAGGAGTACCAGGAGGAGGAGGAGGAGGAGGAGGAGGAGGAGGAGGAGGAGGAGGAAGAGGAGGAGGAGGAGGAGGACGAGGACGAGGAGGAGGAGGAGGAGGGGGGGGGAGAGTACCAGGAGGAGGAGAACGAGGACCACCAGGAGGAGGAGGAGGAGGAGGAGGAGGAGGAGGAGGAGGGAGGAGGAGGAGGAGGAGAGAACACCAGGAGGAGGAGGA